GGTAAAATGCAAAGTCAAGCTGTAGCTTAAATGAATATTGTTTGTAACATAGTGGTCCTGAAGACAAGCAGAGATGCTGAAGTTTCTGATTCTGAAGTAAAGCCCTCTGACATTAAACAGAAAGGTCACATCAGTCATTAGCGAAATGAACACTCAGTCTATAAATAGTGCTGTTTTTTACAACACTCAAAAGTGAAGGAAAATTCAGGATATTCAGTAGCAAACATAAACACACAAATTTTGCTCTATTTTTTGTTGTTGTTGTTTCCTAGCAGTACTAATAAGAAAAAGGGCTGTTGGAAGTAGAGTTGGGAATACTTTCTTTCTCCTCTAGTAAGATGCTTGAAATTCTGCAGTTGGGCTGAGGTCTTGAGAGGTATCCATCTTCCACCAGCTAGAGCCCCTCCTAACCTTCAGTTATACTTGCTTAGCAGTTTTCACAAACTGAAGCGGAGGTGGAGCTGAGTACTTGATAATCATTTTTTTTTCCTCCTAAATAATCTAACACTTGTTTGTTTCCTTTGGAAACAGGATTTGAAACATATGCTCTGAAGACAGGAAGATATTTTTGAACAGGCTTTTGCCATTGTAATATGTAGCCCATTGAAGTTTGGTCAATTTGAAACATGTTTTAGAAATAATACAGGAGTGTGTGTTTGTTTTCCTTAATTGATAAAATATCTATCTGTATAGATCATATCACAGCCTGGGATTAACACAGTCTTCCCATTCATTGCAGCCCTAGAGTAGCCAGCGTTTGGACCCTTAACACAGGGAGCAAACGTGTAGGTGGTGTACAGGAAGGAGGAGGAATATGTCAGTAGGTGGTAAAGAATCTGAGCTGAAAGTAGGGAATCAAGAAGGAGCGGGTGAGAAACAAACACGGGGTGGTGAACTGCTGCAAACTGAGGGTGTTAACAGATGGATTAGAAGTCACTAGAGATGGATCTAGGAGTGTGTGGGATAAGAGTAGCATAGTTGCATAAGCCTGAGATGAGAGAGCCTGGGATTGGGTGCAGAATATTGTGGGATGAGGATGGGGGATGGATCCGCTATTGGGAGCGGGGTTCTGTAGCAAAGAAATGTCCCAACTGTCAAGGATCCTACTCATCTTTTTTTAACCTGTTGTCACAAGTTGAGAGCATAAGAATTGCCCTACAGGTTTAGCCTAGTGATCCTCACAGCAACACCCTCTCCCTGGCAGCAGCAGTAGGAATAGACTGTTTAGAAAGTGGCCAGGCTAATTCTATCCCACTGCAGTCCATTTCCATGGCGTTTCTCCAGAATCTATTAACTGTTCTAATGAGGTTGTTAGAAGATGCTTCCTTTCCCATTACTTTTAACATCCATTTGTGTAGCTGTTGTCCAGTCAAAGTTTCCATAATAATGTTTGTGTATGGTGTAGGTACTGAAGTTCCTTGAGCTCAGAGCTATTTAAGCATATAAATACCGGTTGTAAGTATATGTAAGTATATATCCATGAGCATCTGAGCAGAGCACATTATCCAGCACTCAGTACTCTATCTTTGCTTTTTAAACTTGCAGACCTGTGTGCAGACGGTTTCTGTTTACTGCAGCTGAAATTGCTACCAGAACTGCCTGCCAAAGGCAACATGGCAGCATATCCTTAGAGAACTAACTTTTCAAGTTCTATTATATGAAGTATTTTTATGCTGCTTTTCCCATAAATAAATGTTTTATTTTGTCTGCTTTGAATCCTCTTACTCTTTTTCAGAAAGGAAATTTACTTCTAAATATTAAGCATTTAGTTTCTTGATTCACACACTAACAAAATATGTATGAGAATTTGAGATGTGTGCTATGTAAGAAGGCTTAAGGATTAAAAAAAGGAGGACAATTGGCATTATAATAGCGGTTGAAACGTTTGAACTCATGGTGTGCCCAGGGGATTTGTTGTTGTGTGTGTATCAGTGTGTCGGATGGGAAAACATGGCTCATGGTAGTAGCTTCAGAGCAGCGTGGCACTAGTTTATCGATGGTGTTTCTGCTGTGCCAGCTGCTGTCTTGCCCTGCATAGGAGCGTTGCACTGTGCTGGTAACATGCAGTGGCTGGGAACTGTTGTGGGCATGTCTGTGCTCTTGGTTGAACATTGGTTGAACATGATGTATATGCCTCAAGTTAGGGAAAAGGAGAGACGGTGAAGTATTTGAAGGGTTAAAGTGAAAGATGGGCTGTTGTGTGTTATGTTGTTTTTGTTTTGAGGGGGTACTTCTTGGTGAAATAAAGGTATGTGGCTGAATTTAGTCAGCTTTGAGTTACTGTAGAGGACATTATTCAGCACAGCTCTCTTGCAAACCAAAGAAGCATACTTTAGGTTGCATCCTCCAAAAGCATAGCTGTCTCATAGTTTCAAAATGTGAAACAAATGTGTTCGCATTTAAATGCCAGGCTTGTACAGTGGAGGAACAAAGACTTTACATCTGTAAGCACCTCCTTTTTTTTTTCTTTTTTTCTTAACATAGTAAACATGTTAGACATCTAAAATTATTGCCTTTGCATTAGCTCTTTGTAGTCTGACTTGCATTTAGTGTCTTGATGTATTCCTCCCACACGGTGGATAGCTAAATGTATTTGTTATTTTTATTATTAAGCTGGGTGACATCGCAGCCCCTGTGGCTCTCTCCTCCTGTTCCCTCCTCCTCACACTCCCTGCCTCACCCAATGTTTAATGTTTATTTTAAAGCTACTTTTGATTCAGACTCTACTGTCTGGGGTTCTATATGCCTGTCATTCCTTGCCTTCTTGGTATTGCAATTGCCCATGCAGTTGTATTTCCGCATTTTTTTATATGGTTGTTATGGTATCAGTTTAAGTTGGGACAAAACAATTGATGTAGTCTGCATTACACTGAGAAAGTAAAAAATATATATATTTTTTAATATGTAAGAAAAACGTCAAACTTTCCTTTGGTCCCATGCTTTCACAAATCGTATGTATTAGTGTAACAGTGTACTTGTTTGTGCTTTGTTAAAGTAATTTACTGATATTGGAGTGAGCTGGAAATGGCTGTGTTTCAAGATTAGGGCTAAGTATCCTGTGCAGTTTCCATCGCTGTTGCTGTTCCCCAGTCACAGTGAGCAGCTGGCTCCCGTTGTTCTGCTTAGCTAGAGCTACAATCTGGAATATTTGTAGTCAGAACGTGGCCATTATGTTCTCTGAAGAGCTGTGATCTGAGACATTTGCTCTGTAAAGCTCAAAATAAAACTTAAAAAAAAAACCCTATATTGCTACTTATGGATACTTTAATTTTTAGTATTGTTAATGTGGCTTCCAATAAGTTAAGGACTTTCTTTTCTCTCTCTTCTAAATGATCTACTGTAAGGATATTATATGCAATGCCACATTTTTTTCTATCAAAGGATTTTTTTTTCTTAACACACAAGTTACGGCATTTGCCATTATGAAAGGTTTTAAAATTAAGCATGATCGTTAAATGGAATTCCATTACAAGCTAAATCTCTATAAGGGATAATGCTGTTCTGTGAACATAGTTCACTTGTATCTGTATTTTCTATTTGGACTTTTCTACCTAGAAGCAGAACTTCATTTACTTTGGTGCATTTATGTAATGCCATCTGGTTAGGGCTGCGTTTCCCATGGCTATTTCTGAGGTGGGATGGTCACCGTGTCTCAGCGTTGTGTTACCAGGCAATGCCAGGTCAGTGCTCCCCAAGATCACACTCCGGGCAGGGACATGGCGTGAGCAGTTAAAGGTAGGAGGTCATGACTACACAGCGGGAAATGGAGTCAGGGAAGTGAGCGAAACACAGCCCTAGTGCCAACCCAAATGTCTGCTAAAGGTTAGGAAAGGTCAGGCAACTTATTTTATTTACCAATCAGGTATTAGTCGTTTGCTCTGAAGTTGTTTCTAATGCCTAAAGCTACTGTTGTGACATGATCTATATACCCAGCCCACAGGAATTGCAAATTCCAGTACTGATTACAACACAAGTGTGCTACAACCTACTTGAGATTATTATTTGAACATGAAAATTCACTTTCTAATAAAAAATCTTAAGTCCTAGTTGTACCTATAATAATCAAAATAGTGTCAATTATGCAGATTTTGACGATTGTATACTGTATGGTGTCTTAGTATACAATTCAGGTTTCAGGGAAATAAAATTAACTAGCGTATTTTTCAGGGTTAGGAGTGGGTGGGAGGAATCTATAAGCAGAACTTTATTTTTTGATGGAAGACAATAGGCCCTAGTGTGTCACTGGAAATTCCCTGAACAGCATCCCACCTGCTTATTCAGCAGCTCACCTCAGGGGAAGGCATTAATATTTAGTTTTTATAAAGTCGTTTTTTCTGCCTGCAGAATAAACATCATGTTCTAATTCAAATAGTGATGCTATAAACTGGGGGAGGAAGACATTGAAAAAAAGCAGATGAGTACTTAAAGCTAAAGGATATTTTTCTAACAGTTTTTTCAATGCACTAAACTTTTTTTTTAATTCGCTTCACTGTTTTCCTCACCTCTTCCTTTTCTGCTTTTCCTAATAAAACCTCTGAGGCCCTCTTTGGACTGTTCCACCATTAAGAGAATTTTGTTGCTGTTAGCTGTTTTCAGTTTTAGTTTTAACTTGTTAAAAATGTAATGGCATGTAAGTTTTAGGTGTGAGACCTAACATCACCTAAATAAGTGTTGCCAGTGTGCATACATAACATTTCAACACTAGAACATGTGAGACTAACATATAAAACCAATACAAAAGCAGAAGGTGAGTGCAGAAGATAGGTATGTTTATAAGAAAGATTACAAGGGATGAAAGTAGGTTTTTTTTTTTTTTTTTTTTTTTGATCTTACTTGTTTAATACATATGCATTCAAAACACAACTGGAATATAAATTTAAGTTATGAGTTATATATATGTATTTTACATAAGAATGCTATAGTATCTTTGTGGAGTGATATAAATATTTACATGTAGTCTAATGTAAAATATTTTATTTCTCTTCTGTTTATCTTTGCAGATTTGTTCCTTACTACACTACCAGATTCACAAAACATACAGTTTGAGACTTGGATAAATAAGGTAAGGAGAAAAAACAAAGTAACTATTCTGTTAACACATAATAACTTTAGAAAGAGACAAGGCTACCTGTCATTCCTGGGTTTAGGAATGAGTGGAAAAGATGGTAAGACACACTAACTGTAATATTACATTTGGTCTGCAGAATATCATTAGAGGAGATTATTACTCAGTGTATATTCCTCTGCAGATTTTTAGCTATCAAGTATACCATTCAACCAACATCCATAACGCATTAACCTGTAGAAATGGCTAAAATGAGTGAAGAATCTCATTGTCTATACCAGATAGTAATGTAAATTGATTTAAAGCTAAGTTGTGCATCCTTTATACCAAGTTTGCTATTCATAGATTCACAGGATGGTTGAGGTTGGAAGGGACCTCTAGAGATCATCTAATCCAACCCTCCTGCTCAAGCATGGACAGCTGGAGCATGTGGCACGGGGTCACATCCAGGTGGATTTGGAAGATCTCCAAATTACTCTTCACACTCATCCTATGCCCACTCAGTAGATATTCAGGGAATACAAGGCAAGGTCACTTAAGAGTTTGACTTTGTGTGCCTTCTACATATCAAAATACCACTTAAGACAAATATTACGAATACCTGAAAGAATTCAAACATATTTAAAACAGGAAAAATTAAACAGCAGTACTTGGGAGTGGGCCTACACTCTTTGCTTCCTTTCTGAAATAAACTGATGGAATTTCATAAACTAACAAAATGAGAGAGAGAAATCGAGGGGAAAAAACAACAACAACAACACTGAAAAGCAGTGGAAGGAGAGCAAGAGGCCTGAGGGTAGGCAGGGGGAGTATTGCTGAGAGTAGACCGGGAGTAAATGGAGATTAAAAAGGAAGGTTAGGAGTTATAAAATTATCAGCATTTCATAGATTATTGAAAGGAAGAGGTTACAGAGAAATGCCCATAATTTGCTTTACATTTTTTTCAGAACTTTTTCAAGATTTTTGTGAAATATTATTGAAAGAGTTGGAATTATCCTGAGTTATGTGATTGGAAGGAAAACATCGTCCTTGTTGGGGGCATTCCCTGCAGTATTTGAGAGCTGTTGCTGTCCCTACTTCGTAGCAAGTTCATTTCTTTCAGTGCCATCCAGATGTCTCTATCCAGAAGAACTGTAGTTAAGCCTAGCATGTACATATATTAAATTTTGCCTTTTTGTTTTAATAGATGATGATTAATGTTTTTTTTCTAATTAGCTGAGAAATAGATTTTTAAGGCCACATTTACCTGGAAACGTATCCATCATATCACAGTGAATCAGCATGCAACTAGGAATATAATCCTGCCTGTGTCAGCATGGCATTCTTCAGCCAGCTGCTGAGCTGGAAATGTTAAAAACAAAACAAAAAAGAAACCAAGCTTTTCTGTTTCTCAGCTGCCAGGTGGTCTTTAAATGTAAGAAGAGCTGATTCAAAAGAATAAAAAAAAAAAAAAAAGCAGTTGCTCTTTCTTTTTATGTAATTTATTTTCAATTTTCCTACAAAAGGGGGGGCTCTAAATTTATGCATTCTGAATATATTCCTACATAATACATTTAGTATACTTAGATTAATTCTCTATTTGGAAAGAATGAATCCTGTGCTTTGAAATATTCAGCCTAGGAAAATATCTCATACATTTTAGAATTCTCTGGAGTACACGTACCAATCTTAAGACCTGCATTGGCCTATTAGAAGCTATTAAATCTCTCTACATAGCTGTACTATGCTATCAAATGCTTCTAAAATACTTGCCTTTATGATATCCTTTTCTGATGGTCAGTGGAGCTAAGGGCCAAAGTTCTTTACTGCATGGAGATGATTTGCATGAATTAAGGTTATGACCTCAAGCCTGAGGCCAGATAATTCTGTTGAACCAAATACACCATTTTCTTCTTCATCTTTGGTAAATATCTTGCTGCATTAATACAATGTATTAATTCACTAATGAAAATAGTGATATTAGAGTAGACATAATGAGCATGAAAAAGAGGTGTTGCATCAAGAGGTATAATGTTGAAGCTCTGTGTTTTCCATTGATCTGCCTCCTTGATATTTGCATATTTGCATTACATATTTGGAAAAATATGTAATGAAGCATTCCAGGAAAATCTGTTCTTGTTATCTGTAGTTCAAAAGTCAAACTTTATCATTATGTCTATATTTGAGTTTTTCTCTTGTTTTTATCCTCTCGATAGGATGGGAACTTCTCTAGAGTGGGAAAAAGTAAGGAAAAACCTGAGGGTATGCAAGTTGTTGGACAGTCCGTTTTTGCTGATTTTGGTGAGTTTTATTTTCATAAATTACTTACAGCCTATGCTGCTATTAATTTGGTTAGCTATTCTAAATCAAAGAACAAAAGAATAAAAATATTTAGTTACAAAGCTGTTCTCCCTACTTCCTTCTCTCCTTTTTTTTTTAATTGATAACAATTAAATCTCCTTAAGTATAGGTCTTGAAATATCTGCAGATAATGTATTAATAAACTCAACTTTATTCAGCATTGACTGTTCTGTCAAATCCTGTATCACATATGTCTAATGTTTGAAAGCCATATTTGAAGACATTTACAGTTGTTTTGAGGCATAATACAATGTCTAACCTATTTTTGTCAGACATATAAATCCTTTTTTTTTCCAGTATCTTTTTTTTCCTAAACAGGCAAACCTGCATTTAGTGTGCAATGGTTCCTCTAAAACATTTTCTTTACATAAAACATTGAGTCAATGTTCATAAATTGTTTAGTTCCAATTAATAAGAATTTTGTTCCCATTAACAAATCTTCCCCCCATGTACTAAAATCAGAATTTTGCTACCCAAGTAGAAGTGCTACAAGGCTGATTCTGACCTTATTGAAAGGCAGATTCCTTTTTAACTGTCAGCCTGAACTTGCCTTTAAATACTGTCAAGTGGTACCTTGTTACATCATTTTGGTTTTAGCAACTGTGGCATTTATTGGAGTCGACTCCATATCAAAATCTGGTTCTATTCTTCTATACTGCCATTTAAGTATATTCTTAACCCTTGGAGGAAAGCTGTTAGCTGACCTTTAGCTAAGGGCATCTCTGCTGAACAGTTGACTTGCATTAGTCTCTTCTGTAGCAGCTATGGGTTCAGAGATCTCTAGTAAATCAGGGATTTATAGTAAATGAATCTTTCCTCTGCTGTAACAGTGGGGAGGAAATCAAGTAGCGCATCAGATTTTTTCTTCATCTTCCCAGCGCTAGTTTTGGAATAATCAACAGAATCAATAGTTATTTTCTCATTCTACAGCTTTTGAGAATATTGAAGTGAATAAAGTGCTAAAATAATATATACAAGAAATCAAGGAATATAATTTTGGAGTCCACATTCTTTATAAAGTACAGCTTCAAGGAAGTCAAATAATAGCTGCCATTTCCCAAAGAAGCTGTGCCTACATCTAAATAACTTTCTGTAAGAATTGCCCAACAAGCAACAATCAATGAAAGGAAATAAATTGGAATGCAAAGGAGGATCTTAGCCGAGTTGTTCATTTTAGTTCTAGGGAGTTTTTTTCCATACCAATCTAACAGTGAAGAGGCAAAATTTCACATACACACGGTTGCTCTGTATCAGAATAATTACTTTTACCAACTGCGCAACGTCGGTTTGTGTTTGGATACTTCAATAACTACTGTAGGTAGTAACAGTATAGATTCTGCTTGTAGTGTACTGAAGTTAAGGTACACCAAGTATCCTAAAAGTTAAGATACACCAAGTATCCCTAAAGTAGTTGTATAGAAAGATGCACTTTTTCCTTGGAAAAAAAAGATATGCAAATGTGTGTGTGTGTATATACCTCTATAGGTCTCTTTAAGAGCTACAGGATTTCCATATATGCATGTATATATACATATATATACACACTCATAGATATGTAAACATGTGCATGATTTTTCCATGGAAAAACTACATCAACATATTCATAGAAATGTAGTCAATCTTACACTTTGTCAAAATCATACCTTCTAAAATAAGTAGTCCTTTTCTCTGCTAAATAATGACCATGGTTTATACCTGACCAAAGGACAGAAATCAATTGGCAATGTTGTATTGCCCTTTTTAAAATAAATCCAAAATGCTCTGCAACCTATTTATTATAAATGGCAATTCAATTGATTAAGGTGAACAGAGCTATACACCAGAGAATTCTGCACTTATGTGGCTGACACATTGCTCCAAACAAGTAGGAGCTCTTCGTTATTGCTTTTTTCTATTCTTCTCATGTCACTATAGTAATTGCAGAGCTGTGGTTGCTATAGCAAAAATGATTAATCCTCCGTTGTTGTCTGTATGCTAGCAGAGGCTTTTTGAAGGATCTACTGGTACTGTCTTTAGTGGCAATTGTAGATGTTGGATGACATTCTGATAATTAATTATATTTAGGGATAGTTCTAATAGTTTGTGATTTGAAATAGTTCAAAATAGTTATATTCATTAAAGAAAGCTAAGGATTTCTGTGGAACATGCTTGAAATGAGACCAGTTATTTCTGAATAGCAAGATTCATGTGAACTGTATTTTGAACACCCAAACCTAAAGATTTTTTCTTACTGCATTGAAAATTAACAGAATATGTCTTTAAAGGAGTATCCTAGAAGCAAGTAGCATGGAATGTTGTGCTCTCCATCTAGCAGGAATTCATTTTTGCTGACAGTGTTATAACCAATACTGAGCTGTGCAGTTGATTTAGCAGAAACTTATAAATTATCCCCTGTCAGATCTGATGTACATATTGAATTGTTTGGTTCCTTGGTCTGTGGCTTTGCTTAGTTTAGGCTGTGTAACTTGTTGCAGCTTGTACATATAGAGAACCAGTCATAAATTGGTTGTTCAAATTCGACTAGTTAATACTGTCTACAACATCCTTCTAAGTAAATAGGACAAAACTCTCACTTTCTGAGAGTAAGATGTAGCTGACTCCACCTGGGTTCTTTAATTTTTATTCGTAGTTTTCTTAGCTGTTCCTGGGACTCAGTATGTCTGATGAACAGACATAGTCCGCATTTTCAAGTTTGCATTTGCAATGCAAAGATACTTACTTTTGACACATCATCGATTAGGATTACTTAAATTCTTCCTTTTTAGAGACCTGAACTCAAATTTTTCTGATGTTTAAAATTCAGTTACCCAACTAGAAATTCTAAAAATAATATCCCTTGTAATTTCCTCTACCTAGTGATTGCTTTCAAGCATATTAATTTGAATATATATAATCATATAACATACTTAAATGATATAAATTTTCATTCTTCTAGAACGAAATGGTAGGTCCTTTTTGCTAGTTGAGTATGTTTAAACAGAATACCTGAGATTTCCTAATCTTAGTCTTTGCAGCCTTTTGTTGTACTGTGCAAGTGGATTTTGAGGAAAGGTTCTTGGATAAAGTAATTTTGATTATTTTGGAGCTGACAAGATCTTACATACACTGTTTTTTGCCTGCAGAGTTCTGTTTCTATTTTGTAGCTTTTAGTTTTGTATCTGAACTTCTTATATCATCTGAGTTTTCATTAATTTTTTCCTTCTCTCAGAATCTCATATCCTCAGATATAGTAGCTCTGTGTGAAAGACAAGTTTTTAATAATGCATTTCAGTAAATAACCTCTTTAGAAAGCAGTTGTCCTTTGAGTACAGTGTTGTTAAAATCTGCTAGTGGCCCTGTAGTCGGCAGAAGGACTCTTTTAGAGCCTTAAGGTGCAAGATGATGATATTTCTGTGTTGGAAGCACTCTGCATATGAGAACTCTTCTCACTGCCATCAATTTTGGGTGAAACATTAGGAAACCTGATGCTACTGAAGAAATCTGCAAACTTTGGGAAGGAAAAAGCTGCTTTAGTGACAGATAGGCATCAATTAATCTGAAACAGTGGTGTATAGAGGTGTGCAAGTTAATTGCCACTTGTGTTTTGAGTCCACGAGGCATTAGACAAAGTTCACTTATAACCCTAGAGAAGCTGTGTGGTCAGGCGTTGTGGTTGCTCTTTCCACAGTGCAAGGTAGTTGGAAGTTTCAACTTAATCTACAGGAGAAATTTCAACCTAACTCGTGTGGTGTGCCGGAGGGGCTTCTTGTATATAAACTCCTCTCCTTTTCCTTCTTGGTTTCCAGTAAATACTCCCTTTTAAAGCCTTGTTTCCATTGAAGATTGCAGTCCTCATGCCCGCCCGCTTGTGCAGCTTGCTGGCAAGCTCTGCTGCGGTGGCTTTCTTGCAGTGCACAGGTTAATATGGATATGGACAGACTTAAAAGCAGGATTGATCTGCTGTGAAAGAGAGTGTTCTGAGGGCTTTCTAAAATGTCCATAGAACTTTGAGTCATCTTTAAAAGCTCTTTACATCTGTTTTTTGAAGTTGTGATTCACATTTTCTAAAAGCAGCTGACACTGATTCGTTTTATAATACATAATTATCTTAGTAATTTATGATAATTATCACTGTCATGACCATCTCCTTGAACACCTAAAGGCAGAGTGTAACAAAAGAATTCTAATCATTTTACTACTTCAGAAGACAAATTTAGTTAATCAGCTTTCAGATGAACCATTATTTTGTTTGAATATCAAGCTCACTTGTGCTGGTTGTCTTTTTTCCTGTCCTGAAAGAGTATTGTTTTGAACACTGCTCTGGGAGGTCTTTTTCCCCCTTATTTTACTACTAGTCATCAGAAATTGAAACGAAAGGCTCATGAGGAAGGAAAATGAGGACTGGGCAAAGTAGTGAGTGAGGAATGTGAGCAAACTCTAAGCATGAGGTAACAAAGTAGGTAGAGCGGCATGAGGATGCACCATGTTAAATGGGGTTGCTCTGTGCTTACTTGAGCTTCAAATCATTAACAGCATCTTGCTTTATGTTGTGCTCTGATGAAGATTTTCTGCCCCTCCTCACCTTTCTGCAAGCATCTGTGCAGGTTGCTCTGGTGAAAGGCCTGGAACAGGACAGGGCCCAGGGCTAGTTGCTGCACATTAGTGCTGCACATTAGTACTGCATTTCGAGTGTATAACACATTTAATAAGTGTGTTGTTGTTAATCTCATTTATAAGCTTTACTCTTTTTCCTTTCTGCTCTCAAAGTTACTTTTAGAACAGATTGAAAAGATCTGAACTTTTTTGCAAGTGTGACATTCATAATGAAAATTAAAACTTTATCTGCAAGTAATTTTTTTTCATACAGTCCCTCCATGCGAGTTGTACTCCCAGGGCTTCAGTGGATTTGTAGCAGCGTGCAGGCATGGGTTAAATGTTGGAAAGACTTTGTGCCTGTGAGTTTTGTTTGCAATGCAGTGAATAGTCAGTGGTAATCGTTCTCATGTGATTTGTAGTTATCTAGGACTGCTAATTTTATCTTTACGCATTTTTTACATAAGTACAAATTTGCAACTGATGAGTATGTGAAACAGTTCTTTTCTTCCTCCTTTTCTACTGCCTATAAAACTTGATTTTTATTAATAATATTTTTTTAGTGAAACATTCAAACCAGAATCATGTGTTAAGAACATGATACCTAACAATCAAGCTTTTATTTGTACATGGAGCTTGCGCTAAATTGAGAGGTGCTAGCAAAGAACATCTTGAGTCCAGAGTCTGTTTAATCACAAATAAGGCTAAGTGGGATTTCTACCAATTTGAACAGAGATCATGTAATATTTATGCTATAATAGAAAGATAGACTAGTAGACACTATAGCTGAGTCAGGATAACAGATGGTCTCCAGAAATAGATGCTATGACTAGTTCCAAAACCTGACTCCCTAAGTCACTATTTGTGTTAGGATGAAACTGCAAATCAAATTTACGCTTGTATGGGTTTTCAGTGCTGTTTGTTTGACAAAATGAAGTCATTTCATTTGAGGACATTCAGATGGAAAACAAAATTGCCTGAGCCACAGAACCATACAAAAATGCATACAAACTACAGGCACTTTCAACAAACTGTTAATATGCGTCTTGAAAGGAAAAGGACATTCTTTTTGTGATGATAAGTTTTATAATGATCGTATTTATTAAAAAAAGAAATTTGTGTGTGTGTGCGCGTGTTAGTATGGATGTCAGGTTTCAGCAAGACATAGGTTGAAGAAAATTATTAAAGCAATGTTACACAAAGTATCTTTTCTTAATAATTTGAAACTAGCATAACTTGTTTCAGCTGGTCTGGTGAATTCATCCCATGGTTGTCACCAACCTAATATTCATTATTAAGCCCAGCAGAACTTCACATTCATGTTTTCACCTGTGGAAGCCTAATTGAGCTGGAACAAATGTGCTAATGATACTCCTTTTTCATTTCTGCCTTCCTATTTCCTTGTGGAGGAATTTAAATTTAAAGTTTAGAGGTAAAAGTTAAAGGATATTTATTTAAATGGAAAATTAAACCAAGCATGAAGATGAGAGGAAAGCTAGTAAGTCAGAACAAAGTAGCATTGTGAGTGCATGGCAAGTGCATGGTAAGTTAGTTGTTAGAGAAAAAGAGCTCTTTCAGGAGCCCTGCTGGGTTTGGTGTGTGGTCTTCAAGATCTGTAGGTAGCGTTGGGCCAAGAGAGAGCTGGAGGAGAGCCCCACAGACTCCATCTTCAGGATTTTTCTTGCCTTTTTTACATAGGAACTTTTTGTCTTACAAGTATGCTGTAACACAATAGTTACAGTTGCATCTTACTGATCTATTTTTTAACAATTAGGTTCTTAATACATATTTTACACATTAATTGAAGGGAAAATGCATCTAAACATGAGCCACTGACAAAAATTACCCAAAGCTGACCTGTAGATTTTGATCAAAAGGAATAGGGAAACCACTTCTAGTAAGAAGTATGTATCATATTGGTTTTGGTTGCAGGGCAATAATATGCATGTTAACGTGTATTTACCTGCTGCTCATTCTTTGATTGTTTTCATCAAATCCTACTTTTGCAGAGGTATGGCACTTAACCAGAACAGCACATCTTTGTTAGGTTCTGACTGCTTATCTGATTCAGTGAAGGGTCCATCCATTTCCTGCCCTATTAGTCTTCAAAGCTGCTTCGCTTGCTCTTGTCAATACGCTGCAGCATTGCTGAACATTAATTACCAAGGCTAACAAATTGAGTTATCGCTTTACCAAGATGAATGTTGGCAATTTAAGTAGAATAAAATGTTTGTATTCTCTTCTGCTCTATAGCTTAATTTAAAATGAGAACAACCTTGTCATTATCCCTTTATAACTAACCGAGAGCAGGAGAAGAGTTAATATTTGAAGGTTCTTTGTTCTCATCATTTATTGAAAACCTTCTAAAATGACTTTAGGCTGAAATTTCTGAAGAAAAGTGATTAGAAGATTATGTCTTAATTTAAATTTTATATTTTAAAAGACACCTACATTTCTGCAGTTTAATTTTGTTCTATCAATATCTTCAATATTTCCATACTTTATAATTTGCAAATTAAAGAGTTCCTCCATTTTAAGTTTAGAAACAGCCTGCAGTCTATATACTTCTTATGCTAGTGCATGTAAGCAAAAAATTAAAATTAGTAACCTGATTTAATTGTTCTGCCCAAATGATGCAGAAAGGAAACAAACAGCTGCATGCAGCAGATGGTCTGTAGGGAGTAACTAAAGGTGACAGTCTGACTTTATTACCTGGAGTCATTTGAGGTTGTCTAATATATTCATTGTCCCCCCACCCCATTCTGCTTGCTGTTTCCCAGCTTCCTTGCACACACATTAAACCTCGTCTATATTATGTGTCAAAATGGCTTTAACAAAGATGATTTTCAAAAAAAAGACCCAAATTAGAGGAGAGCTTACAAAGGTGAAGGAGTTTTGAAGGTCTTCATCCGATTTTTCACATTCTAAAATAGTTGATCATTTGAAAACAGAATTTCTGATTTTGAATATATACAGTTGACGATTGTTTTTCTCTTTGACAGATGGGGATGGACAAAGTGAACATCTCTTACCAGTCTGTGAAGATCCTAAATGTCAAAAAAGTGCCATCTACTTATCTAAGCTGGGAATGGATCAGGTATTTTGAGTTTGGAATTGTAAAGATGAAGGCAAATATCGTGTTTACATAGGATCAGAAAAAAATATGAGAAAGGAAAACATTTTAAGGATTTCAGTAAAGAATGAACTTTCTTTACAGAGAAGACTACAAGATAGATTACAAGAGAGATTTTCTTTTGCTCTATCTAAATTATTTCTGGTGGAAAAGGTAACTATTTTGGAATCTGTACAATCGATAATTCTCCTTAAGAAACTGTGGATGCTTCTAATGAGTCTTTTTCTTGCAATGCAGAACGTTGCATTCTAAGCAGCATAGCTGCCCTAGCACTAGATCAAAAATAAGTTTGTGATCAAGAGCTGGAAACAGATTTAGTGAATGCAAATGAGCTTCTTTTGACTTAAGTTAGAGAGCTGAGTAAGAAAAGAAACCTGTCAAGGTTGACCAGCCCACACATCTCACCCTCCATTTTCTGTATACCTTTGTTATTTACTCATTAAATATATTTTCCAGATATCAAGTTTCTGGGCTTAAATACCGTTTTTAAGCATGTAATGTTTAAAAAAAAATGTGTTTTGGAGGTTATATTTCCAACCGTGTATACAAAGACTTACTTATAGTATGTATTTTCAAACTTCTACTTCAATTAAACTACTTTAGAATCTTTTGTTGAAGAAACTTGCACTTATTTTGAGAGACGTGTATGTAATTTATGAAACACACTAGCAGATGGTGACATGTTTTAAGGCATATGCTAATCTATTTAAGTATTTACAGTACTTAGAGCTTTGCATTATTATGAAGTTGCACTTTAAAACAAGTTAACCTAAAAGCTGTTTGATGTTTTAATAAATGTTTTTATAAACTCATATTCTGCAGTTTTACATACAAAAATCTATAAGATGCATCATGTTTCTAATTTTCTTGTGCATTATTGATTATTCCCTTAGCGAGAAGTTAAAAGCAGAAATTTTAGCATTAAAAGTATGCTCTATATTTTAGAATTTATGGGTAAAAGTATTAAAAACTTAAGGAACAGTACATATTTCGGTAAGTTGGTTCTTATAAGGGTCTGCAGCTCATATTTATGGTGAAGATGTGTTTAAAAAAGATTTAAAAGGTTAAAAAATCTTTTTGTTTATTCTTGGAAATACAATATTACAGTTGGGTTTGATTATATGCCATGGATTTTGTGTAATGTAAATAGATGCTTAATTTATGATATATATTTTACTTTGTAGTAAAAGGGAGGGATCACTGACTTTTGTTTAGTGTGTTTTGTTCATTAGCTCCCTGTAATTTGCACCTTAATCTCATTTTTGAGTAAATGGAGAAGAATTTAGCATGAATGCCTTACATTGCAAGTTTTCCATTTAATAAAGCACTAAATTTAATTACTTACTCTTGATAATATATGAAAGATATCCAAGACTTTCTATTTAAATTAATTCTCAGTGAAAGTAAGTTCATCATGAAAATCAACCACACATGAACCTCATGTACCCCTGTAAGATGCAAAGCTGTTATTTCAGAGTAGTGGGGGGTTGGAATTAAGCTAAAGCTACACTATGTGTTGCTCATGACACATTTCTAGGAAGGTGTGGGTCACAGGCATGATATCAGTGTGTTGCCAAAAGCAAGTCTTTTATTTTAACCTGCTGGGAAGTGACATGGTATGTAGACAGTTTTTCTGCTCCTTCAGTATGTCATGTGTTGATAGAGGTTAGCTATTGAATTACTAACCCGTTAGATTTTTAACATACCGCTTTTGATATTCTCATTGCTATATTTAGTTCATCTACTTTGCAATTTCACTGTGTAATTTCAATTTTACAATAATTTCCCAGATAATGACACTTGATGAATTAAAAATCAGCAGGCCAATGTTAGTATCTTATTTTTAAAAGTGCAGAATCTAAAAGATTCTCATCATGCTAGAAGAAAGTATATAGAAGTATTGAGTCACCTCGAAACTTTAAAATAATTTTCTCTGCATATTTTTAGAATGACTTTTTAATTAAAAATGGCAATACCAAATCACATTCATTTGTTCTGGCTTTCTCGAAGATTATATATAGCACATTTTTCTCTTGTACTGTTAGACTAGTCTAGAAGAGATGAAGTTATTTCTTGTAAAAGTTACCTTTTCAGTTCCATAACCATGGAAAATAGCAGTTGCTTCATTCATGTGTCTGCAATTACTTCTGCATGCTGTACGTTTTGTTCAGAGAGAAGGAACCTGCTTTTCAGGAGATTCGGGCTCTTCTCTGCCCGTATTCATTTGAAAGTGGTATGTTTTTATTTCATTTAATTTGATCATCTGCAAAATCCAGTTACCTGACTTTGAGTCAGTGACCTGACTTCTGAGCTTTGATTAAATAAGTTAATCTTCGTGCGGGATGATCAACTTCACATGAAGACAGGCTGCAACCAATCCTGTCATGTAATGTTCATGTAATCCATTAAAAGTTTTGAAGGAGAACTAAGGAGCAATTGTGAGGCACAGTGTGTTTCAGCAAGGTGATGGTATCTCGTGTGGAGCAGCTTGAGATTTAGTCACAGTGTGCAGGAAACAGAGAGATTGGAAGCCCAGTATAGAAAAAGAAGTTGATGTTATATATCCGTTATCTCCCTTCAGTTTTTGGTGGTGAAACCAAATGTACAACAGCTAATACATTTGTGTGGTATTGCCCGGGCATGATGTGTGGCGATGGGAAGCATGCATGTCTTGTAGTTCTGAGCACCTGCAGTAAGGAGTCGTATGGGGTGGTGTGTGAATTATAGCTACACGGGGGCAAACTTCGGGTTTGTTGCTCTAGTGGGACCTGGTTCGAGTTCATGTCTGTCAGTCTGCAATAAATTTACTTTTTATGATATCTTTGGCACAGCTGGCTAGATACTTGAAAGCCAGGCAGTTCTAAGAGAATTATTTCAAGGGCTAGGTTCTTTCAGCATAGATTGTAATTTATTTAATGATTTAATTATTATAAGTATTAGAAGTTAATCTCATCTGTTTTCTCTCTTTGGATGGTGAGACCAAAGTAAAGGCCAGAGAAGAACATATGAGGTTTAAGGAGATACAATCCTACTAAAAGTTTTTTTAAAAGCAAATGTTTCCATAGCAACAGCAAATTTGCCATCGAACCTGAAATAGAAACCCACATGCTGTTCTGCCCGTGGCTAGTGTTAGGTGAGTATAAAGAAATTTGAGGTGTCCTGCAGTAACTATAAGCTCAACTGCTGGCTGGTTCAGCTCGCGCCTCAGTTCTGAATGTTCAGCCGAGTTCTCCACCAGCCTGGTTGTGACGTCCCCGATATCACTTCCTGTGGCACGTTTGGGGGCTCTGATGTTCTTAGAGGTGGCTAATGATCTTCTAATTCCTGGTATTACATACGGATTTTCTTTCATTTCCTTCCTGAAGTGAATGGCATCATTTCAGTCCTGTCATTTGAGAGCTTCTTTGGGTGCCCGAGGGCCCTCCTAGCCTGTCTGTGCCGTAGAAGGGCTGCGGTTGCAGCTGCGCCCACCTTGCAGGCTAGGAAGTCTGGAGTGCAGAACCAGGCAGCGTGTCCGACAACTGTGGGTCTTGGACATGGTCCCTAGGCTAGTGATGTGTCTGGCAGCACTGGTGAGCTGCTGCAGGTGGTCACTGCAAGCAGTTTTCCTAATTCCTCTCTAACATCTTAGAAAGGGGCTGGGAAGATTTTTTTTTCCTGCTTTTTTAATAAATCCCATATTCTGCAAGATCCTTTCATCATCGCTGGGTTGCCAGGCTTTCTCAGAGCAGCTGTGTGGTTGTTAGCCATATTCTGGCATCAAAAAAAAAAAAAAGGAAAAATTTCTTCCCTTAGTTACCCTCTTCTATGTTAAAGCAGTATTGAGGCCCTCTCTTTTGGGCTTTGATCATCTGTCCTGTGCTGTAATGGAATCTACTTAGCTTATTTTTATGAGAATAGCTGCTCATAAAAGAGTTACCACAGCCATATGTGGAATTCAGATGACCTCAGTATGTCCGGAGCACTTTGCACATCCTGAAACTCCTGCTTTTTTTCTGCGTGTACAGCTCAGCCCTAGGGTGCATTTGCAGCAGAGGGGGTCACGCAGCCTCCAGTGGTGGGGCCGGTTCTTCCAGCCGCTTTTGACAGTCAGCATCGTCAGGATGCACAAGCGCCCGTGTTGAGAAGGGCACCCTGGCATTGCCAGGAAACGTGCTGGGTGAGAGCAGCCACCGCATGCGGCTCCCACCTCTGTCGGGGCAGCAGCCAGATGAGGCTCCACACGCTGCCGGCTCTGTGGCCGGGCCACAGGCTCCTGAGATGCACCAGGTCACTGTTCTGGTTCAACAAAGGAGTTTCCTTGGATTTCTCTGAACTCTGTGTTCATTTAAATATTTTTAGTTATGCTCTTTCCATTTTACAGTCTGTTTTTTTTTTTTTCCATCTAAATTAGGTAACAGAAATCATATGATCACAGGACCCCCAAAATAGCTCTGCATGTCCTCATTATATCCACTGAATTGTATCTTACAGTAAAAAAAAAAAAAAAAAGCCCTTTTTCCAACTAAAATAGTAACAACAAACATGAAGCTTCAAGTAATTGTCTAGATGATCAAATACATAAGAAATAGCAAATTTGTAATATTGACAAATATATTCTTGTTTTTACCTTCTGAACTGAAGTACATATCTCCGAGGCACATGATCTTACATGCCCTATGTTGCATAATACCGGTATTTATAATAGAATAAGTTTCACTGAAAACATGGATTGCTTTGTGAATTAAAACTGTCAGAGTAAATTACATATGATGTCAGAATCTATTCTGGTCACAGGTAAGACAAAACTGTTGCTTTGAAATGTTCTGTAACTGTTACTATATACACCCATATATAATGAACCCGTGCACGAACCCACAGGTGGTTCAGTAAGAAATATAAATTTTAGTTTGTAGATGCAGAAGGGTGATGATTAGTAGCAAGAGGCCGTGTTTTGGTCTTGTTTACCTGTTATATGCCGGTGTTTCACTATAGCCCTCTTGGCTGTAAGATATTTTTTATGGAATATTCTTTGTGTAGAGTCAGAACAGAATGCAAATTTGGATTTACTCCAAAAAAATCATTTTAAATTTAGTTTCTTTAAAATTATGTTATGCTATCTGGGAACATTTAGGAAACATTTCATGGATATAATTGGATATTATTGCAATGACTCTTTGTGCAAATGATACAATGTAAACTAAAAGCTATATTATACTTCATGGTTCTGATTTCAATCAGTGTTTTTGAAAATTACACTATTTTGCAATAATAGTGTTTATCTGTCTTCTGACTGACAAGTGAGTGCTAGGAAATCTGTGCCTTTGAAAAAATTCTGTCAGGTCGAGAGCCTTTTTCTGCTTTCTGTTTTTTTCCTTAGATTTTTTTACAAACCTTTGGCAGCTCACAATAGACAGAAGGATGTTGACAAATCACAGAAGGAAGTATGTTTAATTTCAACTTTGGGTTTTCAGGCACTGAATAATCATCATTAGTGTTGATCATCTTAGTGGTTCAAACGTTTTAATTGATAGAGGCAGAGATGTGGGCCGTATGGTGCCTGACAGAGCTGCTGCAGACTTTGAAGCTGTCTGTGATGTCCAGAGTTGACCTTAGTGCACATTTCCAGTAATTTTGCAGATTGCTCTAACAGGTATGAAGGTGCATATAATCTCAAGGGACTAGTCAGTGTCACACAAAATCACCCCATGGCAGGAATTTTGCTGATTACTGGATTGTGTTAAATGAGGGTCTCTCCATATCAAGAAATGATGCTGTCAAGCTCTCCTGCAATAAACCACTCTCTCTTTGATAGTGAGCTTCTTAGCCCTTTTGAACTTCAAGAGTGATGTAAAGAGTAACCTGTATTATAGGGAAGAGGCTTTGCTGGGTTGCAAGTGAAATGCAGTGTAATTTATAATCAGGAACTGTTACCTGCTTTGTGCAAGGATCTTATTCTCATTCTTTAAACAACTGAATCAAGTCTTAGATGAGAGACATTTAAGATGATGTCAAGTGCTGTTCAAGTTGGTGATAGGGATCCTTTAGGCTGGCACCCTTCAGTCCTTTTGAAGGCATTGTCTGCTAGTTGATACATAAAAATACTTCTGGCTTTAAAAATGCCACAGAATTTTTCTGTAACATTGAAATGTTAACCCTGGTACTTCAGCTTCATACCAACTTGCGAAATTAGTTTGATTTTAATTAAGATAAATTTCTGTTTATCACCTCTGCAGCACTTTGTGGAACATAAGTGTGGATATATTTTATTTCTTGTCCTAGAGAAACTGCACTCTGCATTTCCCTTATACTTTGAAATTGACACTGGAATATTCATTCCTTATCCAGCAGTTCAGTGTCTAATGCTGCTGGGTGGGGATTTGAGGAGTCAAAGCTCTTGAACTTCTAAATATCCATAAATCATAGAATCATTTAAGTAGAAAAGGACTTCAGAAAGTCCTTTAGGGACCTTTAGGTAGTGTCAGCACTGATTCAGACCAGGTTTGGTAATGTCAGCACTGATTCAGACCAGGTTTGGTAAGGTCAGCACTGATTCAGACCATGGTCCAGACCATTCAGACCATTAGGATTTTGTTGATAAGGATTTTGAAAACCTTCAGGAACAGATATGTTCCAGTCTGTCTGGGTCCCTCTCCTGGTATTACCCTCAGAGCATTTTTTTTACCGCATTATATCCAGTTGCAACCTTCCTTCTTTTAATGTGACCCCAGTCCTTTGTTCTGCTGCCATGTATCTCATGCATCTGAGCAGAGACCTTCTCTCCATCTTTTCAGTTACTTCCTTAGGGCAGTAGAAGGCTGCTATTGTGTCTCCCCAAAGAAGTTCTCTCTCTGTATCCCTCATCTTCTCCTTGTAGTTTGTACAGTGTATGTGGTACAGTCTCCAGGCTGGAGGTACAGTCTCCAGGCTGGCAGGTAAACCACCGCAGCGGTTTACCCCCAAGCACAGGACTTTACATTTGTCCTTGCTGAACCCTATGCGGTTTCCATTTGCCCATTTTTGCCTCTCTAGGTGCCCTCTGCATGACAGTCATGTCCTCCAGCCTCCTGACTGCCCAGCCTCCCCGCTCTGCTGTTGGGCACAGGTTTAATGCAGGTGCATCTCAACTGCTCTTCTAGGCCCTTAATGCTGCCTGTGGCTTGAAACTGCAAGAAAAGCAGAGGGACTCAGGAGCTCAAGGCCTGGTGGTTTGGGCTCGCCTACACTTAAAAAAATAATTTGGACTCCAGGCAAATGTGAATTTCTGTGAAGCTATTCCATAATCACCGTACACTGGGCATGCTCTAGAACACAAGTGCCCTATTATTTCAATCCTGTCTATTCATTCTCTTCTGGAATAACTTACTGCATAGGAAGGATTTCAAATGAGAATTTTCATTTAGTGACATAGTTAAGAAAGAAACCTTATTTTTTTATGTTATGTCCTCTGTGGAAGTTTGTAAATGGTTATTGAGAATTTTGATGCAGCATACAATAGTTGGCTGTTTTAAAGATGACTTTTGATAAATTAATTTCCTTACCTGGATTTTTTTTTTGTTTTTGTTTACAGTGGGTTCCAGTCTTGCAAGACTTCAGAAATAAGGACACGCTTTGGGGCTTTGTACCATACGAAAAGGACAGCTCTTCAGCAGCAGTTTCATTTCCAATTACACTTCACATTGGAGATTATAATATGGATGGCTACCCAGATGCTCTTGCTATACTAAGGAACACATCTGGAAGGTAAGGATGAAATCTTTGAGTTTTGTAAATGAATATCTTGTGTCATATTTGCTTAAGAGCTCAGAATACAACTCGGCCTGTTTGTTCTTCTCATCCTTTCACAGAAAGGATGCCCAGTTCACAGCAGCTGGGAGTCACCTGGTATTAAGCAGTTCAGAATTGTTCCCGATTTACTGTAGCTCAGTCAGTAAAACTAGTCTGTGCTCGTGAACATTTCCAGAAATCAATTTGGCCTTTTTGGTCTTTGTGAATTCTAACATATATTAAAAGGAGACGCTTGTGTCAGTGGCAAGGAGTTTGTAGTTTTGCAAGAAACAGAGCAAGAGATTCTTTCAGGGAGCACCCTGTGCAAAACAGCAAAGCCTGTGGTGATTATGTCTGAAGACAGTTCTTCCAAATTTAGCATATTAACATTTGCTGTCATAATCTCACAACATCTCAGCAATCGCTGAACTACTGAAAACCTGATATCTAGGTTGCAGGCAGGAATTACATGTGCTGTCACTGGAATAGATACCACAGTGCTTAACAACCTAGAAGGAAAGTGAACATTTCTTAGACTTAATCTTCTTTCTTAATGTTCCTCCTCCCTTTCTTCAGTTCGTCTTCCCTACCCGTTGTCTTGCCCCAGCCTAGTGTTAGGCAGGAGTGGGCATCTGTGCTGTTACCCAGCAAGGGGTGTTATACAGCATGTAGCGGGTGTCTGGATGAGACACAGGCCTGTGCCAAGCTGCACGTACTGCTCAGCCACAGGATGAACCTAGCCTGCTGCTCACAAAGGAGAAGCCGGGCAGGCAGCTCCAGCATGGTCACCTTGTCTTTTTCTTGAACTGAAGCTGCATGTTCTCATGTCAATTTGTGCTTGGCAGTAAAAATGATGAATAGAGTTGTCTTAAGAACATCCTTCATAGCTCCAAAGAACGGGCAGGATCTGCACACCAGGCCGTGGCCAGGCTAGAGGTCAGTTTGATGCTGTGCAGTTCAGGGTTCCCAACATCTGAAGAGACATAAGATTATCTGTGCTATTTCCTTTTTCTTTCTTGTGTTATCTACAATAGAAGGAATTTTAATCAATACCTTACAGAGTCTGAGTGCCTGTCATACTGAGGTCGTTAATGAACACTTGCACAGTGTACTACAGGGCAAAATAAGTCAAGTATTTTATACCAGTTGATTTTGTATTTGGCACCTACCATCTGTATTGTGTTTCAGATGAACACATAGCTTATAACTGGAATTAATACTCGGTGAGGATTAGAACTGAAGAGCTCACTTTAGTGTTTAAAACAGAATATAGACAGAATTTAGGTGCTTGCACCTAATAAATTAGTCCAGGTCCTCTAGTACTTCCAACACCAGAGTCCTCGCACACATTTCGAGTTAAGGTGTTCTTTAGATACATAGCTAAAACCCACCACAGTGTGGAGGCTCCGCTCCGCCCATGGCACTGGGATTCAGCGGCAGGGCAGCGAGCGCCCAGCTCTGCCCTGGCCCTCCGGCTTTAGCCCACGGGCACAGCAGCCAATCCCACTCACATGCAGCAGAGCAGAGGGAGGAGGTGCTGCTGCTGCCCAGAGCTTGCACAGGTGAAGCTGGAGCGCCCCGGCCCCGCATGCCACGCATGCCACGCTGTCGTGCTTGGTAGCCCTTTTTCTCAGCTGGAAGTTTGTTTGTGGAACACTTGCTGTTCAGCGGGCCTTGAATAAAGGCTTTAAATAGTCTGACGAGCAGATTAGAGCCAAGGTCTTTCCTTTTCTGCTGAGATACTACAGCACTGAAATTACAAAGTTGTTCTCTTTGTTCGTACTTAGGCTCTATATGGTATCTTCTGTGCTACCTGCTGTGTCTGTACCCTGACACTGTAGGGCACTTTGCGAAGGTATGAAGACTTCAGAAGTGTTTTTTTGTTTTTTTAAGTTGCATTATCCTTCAAAATTATTAGTTGCCTCCCTCCTCTGATTGGTATACAGTAATAATAATATTGTAATATCAAAAAGTTTTATATGGCTAGAAATACTCTTAAAGCCTAGGAGGTCATCTCTCATTGCAATGAATACGCGTACTTTAAGCCTTACTTCTGAAATTGTTCAATTGGATGTCTCTTTAACTTGGCTTGGAAACTTGATTTCAAAGTTATACATAGCCAGACATAAGGACAGAAGGCTCTAGCACAAGATTGGACAGGCTGCAAAAGGGGAATTCAGAGAGCTGAAGTCTAGAGGAGAAAAGAAAGAGGATCTAAGCTAAGAGTTGAGAAATACATTGCTTGTTAACACTATATTTTTCTAGTATTATTTGTAGAAAAATAATGGAAAGAGACTCCTATTTTTGGATGGAGATGAAACTTGCATTTTTAATTTCTGCTTTTATTGTCACTTTGACAATAATATTAAATCATTGTTTCTGAGACACTTAAGCAAATACTTCTCTTCAAAATCTGTAACTGGGTCATAGAGTCCAGAGAATTAAAACAGTGTGGAAATTAAATTAAAAGCCCTTCTTGGATTAGAGCAAATAAAAAGGAAAACCTTATTTAATTGATTTTAAACACTTCTGGATCAAGCTATTTATTTTTCCTTCTCTGAAGCTTTTCATACTACATCTACAGATCTAATTACAGTGATTGATTACTGTGATTAAATGATAAAACCATTTTTATGCACTCTTGACCTCAATCTGTGCTGTAGCCTAGGAAGTCAAGCTTCTAATTGCTATCTCTAACTTAAAGGAGGCAGAAAGCATTTTATTCATCTGGAAGTATACTGATCTGTGATAATGGAGGAATACAATTAAAATCAATTATATGCTTTTACCATAATGTTGGAAACATTCACAGACTGAGTTTTTAAAACTCCCTGCAAGACACTGAAATTAGATTATTTTAAGAATTACTTTGGTCTTGTGTCCTTTCAGGTGAATAAGTTAAGAAAATGATGAATTATATTCTTATATAATATATTCTTATAACTGCATTAATGCCAGTCTGTTTAATCTCCTGCCATATCCTGTTAATTTTGAATAAAAGCATGAAATATACGGAGAGCATGGATAAATTCCTTATTAACAGCAACCAGAAAGGAGTCTTGTGGGTGCTTGAAGTGTGCTGGGGGTTTGAATCCAGGCTATAAATACTAACAAGTGAAGCCATTAAATTCTCAGTAAATTCCTACCTATTATGAATTCTTTTAACTTCTGACTTAAGTCAAAACCTGCATATTAGAATGCCAGTCCACAGGCTTTTCTTTAGGCTGCATAAGTATATGATTTTTTCTTCTCCCTACTTATGACCGAATTAGAAATTTTTAAGTGTCTTGAATGATGATATCTAAAGGAACTTTATCAGTAGTTTTTTATTGGTTCATCTCTGCTTGCTAACTTATTTAAATGTACTCATTTTTCTGCATTTTAGTTTTCAATAGAGTAGTAACATGGAAAGCATAAGGACTGCAGGTGAATCTGTAATGCACGTATTTTTGCTACTTAGAATAGATTTTGCTTGACCACTTGTTTTAGATGTTGAAATTAAATGCTAGCAATTACCACCTTGTATTACAAATATCTTCTAAGGAAGTCTGTTTTCAGTGCGGTTTTTTGGTTAAAAAAAAGAGCCCTTAGACTGGTCAAACGCAGTAGCAGTGTATGTTGAAATACAGCACCTTTCTGACACTAGTGGTAAGTAACAGGAAGGACCAGAAGTGGCAGCTCAACAAGATTTAAACATTAGAATGAAAACCTTGGACAAAATATCATTTTTCATGGTATTCACACTTAGTTTTAAGATATATATGTTTTAATGCTTTGCATGACTCCACTTGAAATTATTTTTCTTTGGCAGGCTTATTTCTTCCTAAAGCCATTGATAGTTGCGATTTGTCAGAAGGCAGCCTGGCTAGCGGGCTTCTAGAAAATTTAGGGCCAAAAAGCAGCCTCTGATTTAGCAAATCTAAAATGTAGAGGCCAGTTCAATGGCAGTGAATGTTTGCAGCAAGATATTAGTCATTTAGCTGTCCTAGCAGTCAGTGTAAATTAAACAGCCAGAAACTGACAGATAAGAGATGTATGAAATTAAGCAGTAAATATTTAATTCCAAGCACAAAGCAATATGTTAAAAAGAGACTCAGATAGAAGTATGTCTTTGGCTTTCAGCTTTGCCTGTAGCAGCAGGGCCTTGCTAAGGAGTGGAGGCCCCCATGCCGCGGGGCCGGGCGCTCCCCACAGCTGCCGCGGAGCCAGGGCCTCCGCTCAAGCCGTGCGGGGGCTGCTGCCCTCCGGTCTCGTGCGCTGGCATCGCTCGGCCTCTGCTCGGCCCCTGCTCCATGTCACAGACAAACTGATTTATATCAACTGCCACACATTACTGTAACAGGAGAATGTTGATTTAATGTTAGCAGTGTAATGCAGCCTATCTTCATGCGACATTTGGGTGTACTGTATATAGATTTGCTAGTATGTTATTACACGTTTTTTTCTTCTTCTGTTTCTTTTTGTTGTTTCTTTTTTGTTTTATTTGAGCATAGCACACCTGAAAGCCTAGGTGGCATTTTAAAACACTAAGGCTGTTTATATACAGGTATAGCTTGAAGGCTACAAGTACCTTGTATCTTATGTGCATGTATTTTGAGGCAGAAACAACTGATATTTCAGCAGTGTTAGTTGACTAATGCTAACAAATTAGCAAATGTCCAAATTCAGATGCTAACATCAGGATACAGTTTTCCAAATTTTGAAAGAGCTGGCAAGATTAGGCCAGGAACATGGAGAAATTAAGACTCAAATATGAATAACTAGAGAGCTGAAAACAAGCCTGTAACTTCCTTGTTCCTGACCACACTTCTGGTCCTGGCCCTTCTCAGAAGGGGGAACTGAGGGTGGGGAAAACCCCTGCGCTGCTCTTGGGCTACAGCATTTCCATGGAAGCCACAGGTCTCCTCAGATCCTGCCGCTCCAAATGGTGCTTTCTAAAGATGCTTTTAGAGGAAATAAAAGTGTGGTGTTGAGTGCTGGTGTAGAATAGAAAATACTTTGAAGCTATCAGTAAAATAAAAGGCAAGGAATTGCTTCTGAAATAGACAAGAAATAAGGCTCAGCTTTTAATTAGAAAGCTAACACAGCTAGCGTAGGAGCTGGGAAGCAAATCCCCGTGCTTGCAGCCAAGTGAGACTTTCTGCAAGTTCCACTTAAAAACTCTTCTCTAAAAAGAGCTTGATATTGCAAGCTCAGACCTTTCCTAGCTCATATTTCTCACCAATAGTAGTAGTTTTTGTTCACTTTAGGAATGCATTATTTTTATGTTTGATATAAATTAAACAATTTTGTTTGATATAAATCAAACAATCTGCAAATTCCTAATAGTAATAACTCTGACTCTTAACAGATTGTAAACTCTATATGACTTCTCACAAAGGTGAAGGTAGCCTGTGTATAGGTGTGGTTACCATTTATAGCACAATCTGGGACCTGTTAATTCTGCAGGCAAGTTTGCCCTTCTGTTTAAGGGGCTTGGCGGAGACCAGGGGTGTTAGCAGGAAATGAAGCTTCCTGGTGCAGTGCGTTTCCCAACAGCCAGGCCCTGCTCTGTAGGGCTTCTGCACAGCCCTGCTCCCTGGCACAGCAGATGATACAGGGTGTTGATGCCGAAGGGTGAAAAATACTGGCATTTACCATTTTATTAATAGCTTCCTATTTTCTCCTGTTTCAGTTGATGCTATGTTATTGTTTGTCCATTTTGAGGTCTTTTTAAAGTCATCAAATGAACGCTATCAAGAAAAGGAAATTATAAAATTACTGTAATAAACTTCTCACGTCTAACCATCCACAAGGTTTATAGTTTAGACTTGAATTATAATTTATATGTACACTATAATGTGAACTTGAAAATCGGGTGCCATTTAAATAATTAGCATATAATCTTTTCCAGCAGTTAAGAAAATATGATTTTAAAGAAAGTGCCTGTATAAAATTTCCTGCAAGTTTAAAAGACAGGCAAGTGGTGCATGGGCGTCGTAAAGAAGGGAAACTGAAACAAGGTGTTTAGCCCAAATTGTCACCTTACCTTGTAGTTGTTAAATGGTACCTGTATAATGTATAAAATACATAAAATGAATGAGAGCGCTTAGTAACTTTGAGTTATCGTTACACAGTTTCAGTTTTTGATAAACAAAATATCTCAAATATTGTAGATAATTTAATTTGCTTTTGGCTGGACCTTAATACATTGCTGCTTCTTACAGCAAAACCGTAAAAAGTGAGTTGGGATAAAACTTTTGATCAAATACAGAGCATAGGAGAAAAGTAAGGGCCTCATTTGTATACCTCACTCAGAAGCTCAAGAAATGCAGTTATAAGGTGTGAATGAAATGTCAAATCCTGCCTTTTTACTGTCACCATGTGTTGGAGAAAGCAGACTCCTACTGAAACCAGGCAAAACCAGTCCCCGGCCTGGCACAGCGGAGAGCTTCTCGGGGAAGTGTTTTGCCCTTCTCCAACTCTGCCTCAGATGGAGGCAGCAGAAACATGAATAGCATGGGATATAATTCTTAGAGCAGCAAATTATCTGAGATATACCACAGAAACACAGGCATAAAAGATAAGCTTTCCTTGTGGGAAATGCTACAGGTGCTGCAGGGTGGGCAGGCTGGGGTTTGCACCATCCCTAAGCATGAGAGGTCCTTAAGCTATAGTTCTCGCTTGCCTCCTTGTTCCAGGATCAGAGCTTTTCGCCCTGTTCTGTTCCTTGTATGTCAGCAAGCATCTAATTTAGTTTATTTTGTCTTATTTTTACTGTGGTAGTAGGTATTTTTTTTGCTTTGACAATGGAAAGCTGATACACTGATAGAGATTTGGGTTAGCCTTGAATCTGTGCAAGGAAAAAAATCATGTGTAAGAGAATTTATTAATGGAGATGATATGGGGAGAGCCTGTCATAAAATAATGAAAATGCACTGTCACTTTTTAAGCAGCATTTAAGATGAAGGACCAAGGAAGGATTAAGAAAATGGCAGATAAATGTACTTGTCTCAGAATAAAGTAAGAATATGTTGGGTCTTTTGAGCAGATGATTAAGGAAACAATTCCTGCTGATTTGGACCCATTTATTTAGTGTACTCATTGGTTTAAATCAAGTGTTATATATTGGCTGTAATTCTGCTTGTAAAATTAATGCAAGTGTTCATGAATTTGAAGTGTCTAGTGGCTGCTAGCCTTTTTTATATGATACTTAGCTTCATTAGGCTCAAATTATTTATTTACAATACTTTTATAATGCCTGTTACTTAGACTTCTTAAAGCAAATAATGGTATCTGTTGTTGTGCATATTTGTTTTCCAGCAACCAGCAAGCATTTTTACTTGAAAACGTCCCATGCAATAACGTGAGCTGCAAGAGCGTACGTCGCATGTTCAAAGTTTACTGGGAGCTCTCGGATCTCAATCAAATCAAGGACGCAGTGGTGGCCACCTTCTTTGATATATACGAAGATGTGAGTTGAGCTCTTGCTGCTGCAGCCCACCTGGGTCCCTGTACTTTAATTTCAACATTTTTTTTTTCCTCTTTTCCTCAACCTCAGGGGATCTTGGATATCATTGTACTAAGCAAAGGCAACGTCAGTAAGGATTTCGCTATCCATACATTAAAAAACAACTTTGAAGCAGATGCCTATTTTGTTAAAGTTATTGGTAAGTGATCACCATAAAATCAAATCAAAATAAGACGTTGCAAGGAATGTGAATATTTGATGCTCTGCGTATGAGAATAATGCCCTGTGTGTGATAATGCTAGAAAAGAGAAAACATCATGGAGACCTTAAAGATTGCAGAAATCTGCAACATTATATAGCATCTTCTTTGTTTTCAAAGTCATTTTTGCTTTCAAAGGTTTTCTTTGGAGTTTTATTTTAGTGTACTTAAATTCACAGTATTTCTGTCAACTATTTTCAATATTCTGGTTGTTTTTAATGTCAGTTTTGACCAGCATGTCTTTTTAAATAAGTGTTTATTGTCTCTGTGTGATTTTGATTTTACAGGAAGGCATGCCGTCTTTCTCTGCTAACTAGAGGCAATTTAAATCTTTGCTTTCATGCTGGAGCTTTCCTTCTCCCCATCGGCATCCTAGCAAAACTCCAAAGGCAGATATTAGGTCTCAAAAACTCATCTCTCAGCTGGCTTCTGCAGGGAAAAATGAGAACTATCGAGTGTCTAAAAATATGAGCTATAAGGAGAGCAGTGTAACGGAGTCATTCAGCCTAAAAGAGAAACGTACAGAAGCTCCGAGTCCTCAGGACACAATCATTTCCTGCAGAGCTGGGGGAAGTGTGTTATATAGGAGGATAGGAGAGAAAGTTACAGACTTAAATTATACACAGCGAATAGTAGGAATGCCATCTTAAATGATGGATTATGTAGTACTAGTGTAAATTTCCTGGAGAAGCTGCAGAGTTAACCATGTTAGATATTCTTAGGAATTTAGAAATGATGCAGTGTTTGTAATAATTAAGAGAAAGCATTGTATTGGATGGACTCCCTTCAGCCCCTAGTAAAGTTCTGTGAATCTTCTGCACAGCGTATTATGTGAGGAGGTAAATGAAGGAAATGTCAATATAAAAATGCCATTATACCTATATGTACCTGTCTTTCAACTTTTTCGTTTTTGATTTTTCACACCTGAAAATATTTGGGATTGGAGGAAGATTAGCTCATTAATTGCTATTTGGAGAAAAAAAAGTTAGTCATGCTTACACACACACTGTAATTACACCAAAAGGAACCAGAAGAAATTTCAGGAATATTGACTTGAATGAAAATGGGTCTTTTTTGTCCCCAGCGGCTGCCCTGTAATCTTGCCTATTTTCAGAAACAGAGGCAAGACACAGCAGCCAAATGCCTTATTTTCATCTGCCCTGTGAGTAGTTGCAATATTTTCTTTTCAGGCAGAGACTTGTGCCCGTTCCTCACACATCTGTCATCTCAAGCTCACTTCACTGTAGTTTTCTTAATCATTTGGAAATGCCATCTAGTGCAAAAAAGGGTGGCTCCATTCCAGTGCCCTTTTGCATGGTGTATTTTGCTTATTCTTTGTGATCTGTTCCAAGAGCCAGTTTGTTTCCATGTGTGAGTCAATTTGTTGTTTTCAACCTAATACGCCGCATGGCACAGAACACCTCTTACCACAGAAGCTCCTAATGGCAATTAATATGGCACAGGGATGCCAATTAATTACAGCCTTGGCTTACAAGGCTTGAGTTAGATTGTGACATTTAGGATGGAGATAATTAGGTCTTGAACTTGCCCCACCATTTTCTGACAGACTGCAAAGGTCCTGAACTCGAGCTCTTTACCTGTCCGTCTGCCTTGAATTTTGAGAGACAGTAAAACATGAAATGCTTAAGTGAGCTCATAAGGAAAAAAATGAACTGTTTTTGTACCTTGGACAGTTACATTTGCTTTCATGTTAGTTGTATGCACATAATCCATTTTATGCTGATGTTTTGCACATTTAAGATAAATAGGATTGCAGCTGCTATGGGAGCTGATGTATTTTTCACTTTCTCCTTAGTTAGGGCTTTATTCCTTCTCCGATCGATTACACTGGTTTGTTATGTTGATGGAAGCCTCATTTTAAATAATTCTGTATTTGAGTAGTGTAGCTCACATGAGAGTGTAGAAAATCTTGCAGAGGAGAAAAAAAAAGAAAAAACACTACTATATTAGATTGTTGTGTGATATTTTGGTCGGGAAAGGAGCAGTTTGCAACACAATTTTTCATTTGTTCAGTGTACATATAACTTGAAAATCAGAGCAAACATTTTTGGCACCCTTGCAAGGTTTGAGTATTTTTGCATATATAGAAACCCCAGAAAATGGCAATTAATGAGTGGTCTAAAACTTTTTTTTTTTTTTTTACTGTAATAAGGGGGAGATCATTTCCAGTGAGACATGCTTTCTGCCAGTTGGTGTGTCATTAAATTCATTGCCAATTATTTGGCATATGGACAATGAGAGCAGTTTTGTTCATTATAACTAATGCCAGATGTACTTGATCAGAATATTTGTTCCAGTACTAAAATTGCAGTGTGCAGTTTTGCATCAAAACAGAAATGCTCCGTGTCCATTGGCGTGCAGACCTCTGTCTAATATGTAAGACATAGTTGGTAACTAAATTCTATCTGTAGATACAGACGTAGTCCTCAAACTGTGCTTTGTCACTCCATTATCTTACCTGCCCAGATATTTTCTGATCCTTTTTTTGGGGCTTTATAAAAATATTAGATGTTTCTGTAGTTGGCACCCCAGGGTTTGTAATTGCAAACAGAAACAAGAGAGTTGTGGCGGTTGCTCAGAGGTGCTGGGCAGCCCGGGAGGGCTCCGTGCACCAAGGCAGCCCCAGCTCCCGAGGCCTCTGCCCACGGGCTGGTGCCGCAGCGGAAGGGCCGGGGGTGATGGAGCTGCCTGGCCGGGCACCGCGTGTCTGCACCTCGTAGAAAGCGCCTCGATGACACGTTCCCATTTTTTCTTTCAGGCGTTTTAGTACTGATGTCTTTATTTTACTGTTTACTGCAACAGGGTGTCCTGGGTTATGGAATAAATGGTTTTCACTGTCCCTCATTTAGCTGATTATAAATAAGCATTTAACAGATTTCTGTAATTCAACTGTTTTTTCCAAGCCACATTTTAAAATGTGCAATTGAACAGCTGTTATAGGCCGTATGTGTTAAGCACCATTATACACATCTGCTAATAGTTTAGAGTTTATAGAATAAACAATGCTTTTTTCCCACAGTTTGTTACAACTTTTAAAAATTTATTTCTATCAGATTCTAAGGCTAAAACTTGTATATAAGAAAAAGACCTTCCTAACCTTTTCACCAATTAAAACAGTAAAGCTAAATCTCTACCAAATTTTTATTAATGGATAGACTTGCAGGATAATGAATAAAGTGTAAGGTGCACTATTTCTAACATATGTTTTAATTGGAATTTCTTTAAGCGGCAAATCTCCCCTTTTGAAGCTGGTTCCAAATAGGTGTGCTAAAACCCGAGCAGCTGATTGATTCCAGCCAAGCAGTGTACTTCAAAGAGAGCAGGAGTTCTTTCATGCCTCAACATAAGGGGTATAGCGGTAACTTTTGTATGTATGTTAATGGCTACATGACACTTAATAATCTTGAATCAATTGCCAAGGTCATACTTGTGAAATGGCTTGTTAGTATAAAAACTGCAAACTAAATTTTTGTTTTTCCGCAGTTCTCAGTGGCCTCTGTTCTAATGACTGCCCTCGGAAAATCACAGTAAGTCTAGTTATAACTGCACATTACAATTTAGCTTCCAAACCAGGCTGGGGTCTCATTACACGGAGAGCCGTCCATATAACTGAGAGGGCTCCTGCCCGGAGGAACGTGTCACACACATCACAAACGACCACGTTCTGCACATTTCAAACCCAAGGATTTTTATAATTTTCTTGGGGAGGAGCTCAGCGGGTGCCTCTTGCAGCCCCATTTTCCACTTGGCGTTCCAGGGGCTGGATGCAGCAGATAGCAGCAAGACCCCTGTACGCCACAGGCTGCGCCTGCTGCCGTGTCCCGCTGTGGGCAGGCGCAACGGCCAGGCCAAACCAGGAGCTGCTGCAGAGCCGCTGCTGGGCGGCACAGAACACACTGCAGCGAGCAGCAGGAGGCTGCAGCCAGCGACGGACGGGAGAGAATCCCAGTTCTGATGGTTGGGTAGATTTACCACGTCTGAAAGCAGTGGAGTTCCTCCTCAATTACTTGAACTATCTCCCTCACCCACCCACTACGTAATTACTCCCTCCAAAGAAATTATTTAAAATAGATAGTGCCATTTGACAAGAGTTCTTTATTCAGTCACTTTCATTAAGTAAAACATGGCTAAATAATGGTAACAGAATTTTGGGTTTTTTTTCAAAGTTTGTGTGGGACTGAGTAGTGTTGCCTTCTTCCTGAGTACCAATTAATTTCATGCCTGACAAAAAGAAAGTAAGTTTCCCTTTATCTGCCCAAACTGAACCAGCAGATCCACTGCCTACATACTGGGTCCTGCCAGAGCACTGCAGAAGAGCAGGGTGATGAAGACAGGAGAACTCGGCACGTGAAGGACAGGGCCAGAAAGTTTTGTTTGTCTCTGACAGGCAAACCTATAATAGTGGTATAGTCCTGAAGTAAGCTTGAAATTCCTTTTAAAGCCTCTTTGGATTGGTTTAACTCGCTTCCCCTAACATCTTAAATACAGTTTCTTTTTTTCAAGAGTTAACAATGTGTCTGATTGTATTGATTTTTTTTTTTCTTTAAGAGAGTGAGTGATCCTTGGCGCTCTTCATAACCTTTGTTTTCACCTTCCAAATCAAGTGTTAGGAAAAATATACTGTATATTTTGCCTATGTTTCTTCCTCAAGCTAATGCTGATATTTTAAAGTATTGAGGAGCTAGGAGCGTGCAAGTTGATTGGTTTGTTTTTAACTATTTTCTTATTATTATTTCGCGTCCTGAAAACAACAGTTTTAGACAGCCTTGTATTGATGTATTAAAAAGTATATTAGAAAAGAACTGATAACTGCAGTAACATTACTTAGCCAACAGATTGCCCTTATTATAAAAATCATTTTGATTTCAGAATATCCATATAGCAAGGAAATTATTAAAGTTTCTCTCTGGTTTACTGGTTTATTTGAATAGCTCTGTTCCTAAAATCCAAAAAATAAATATAATATTTTGACTTTTTTTTTTCCCTTTGTAGCCTTTTGGTGTTAATCAGCCTGGTCCTTACATCATGTATACAACCGTAGACGCTAATGGGTACCTGAAAAATGGGTCAGGTAAGCTAACTTCATAATAAGAATACACATGGCCTGATCTGTAAATACTTCTCAGCAGCTGAGAGAGAGATAGAAATAAGTATACAAACTAAAACAAGACTGTTTTCAAGTAACATGAAGATAGAGAATGGGGCCACATGCTCTGGGTGTACCTGCTTGAGCGGGAAGGTTGGACTGGATGAACTCTGGAGGTCCCTTCCAACCTTGAATATTCTGTGATTCTGTGATTCTGTGTGGCTCTGTATCTTTTCTTACAATATGACAACCACAGGGTATCAAATAAAACCATTAGATGACAGGGTCAAAGCCAATGTAAGGAAGCAGGTCTTATAACTCTAGTTTAACAAGAAATCTTATTGCACAAAATATTGTGGATGCCACAGTTTAAATGAGTCCAAACCTAAGTAAGCAAATTCAAAAAAACTCCATTAGGCCAAACAGTGCTTAGTGCTTGAAGAAGACTCTTTGATATTGATGCTGCCTCCCTACAGCTCTACTCTTGGCTCTCTGAAGGCACAGACTACCGAACTGCGTGGGCTGTTGGGCTAACTTGTTCTGACTTGTTATCTCGTAAGGGACTTGCTGTCGCTTTGCCAAAATTCCCACACTCCCAAGCCAAAATATACTCAGCTTATGCACATCGTTAAGTCGCCCCCTTCCCTGCTCCTTCACAATATGGTAGTTTTGTGCATCTTATCATGTGAGCTGTAGTTGTAGATTCAAATTAAACCCACTGTTAAAAGCCCTGGCACAGTGTCCTGGGAAAACTGTATACCTTTCTACAGAATTAATAGCTGTATTAGGACAATTCAGTGCTAATTATATAGCATATACAATGCTAATTGTAGCATTTATTTAAAACAGTAGTAACAAGGGGAAACATGCAGATACGTTAAGTTCTAAGTCAGTGAATGGTGTGCTCAGAACTGTTTGTCCCACCTCAGAAAAGAAAAAGGGAAAATATAGATGTCCAGAGATAAATTCCAGATGACTGCAAAAACATATTCTGGCATGTACTTCTGTATTCATGTGTGTTTATATATGGGTTTATGTGCCTAATGTTAGGCAATAAGCTTAAAGGATTTAGCCAATATTTGTAACCACTCCAATAATTAATGCTAATATGTTTAAAAAATTAAAAAAGGGGAATTTTTTCATATTTTTATAGAAATTACTTTTTAAAAAATAACCTCCCTACCAATTTTGGTCTTAACTTCATTGTTTTTAAGGGTTTTCTACATGAGTTGTATTTAAGGGCAGTGAACATAGTCAGAAACACTGAGGAAGGCAGGGTGAGCTCAGAGCTTTAGCTTTGTGCCAGCGTAGCAGAGCAGCCCTTCAGCTGGGCACCAACTTGCCTCTCATTTTCAGTGCCAGAGCCAAGGTGCAGCACAGCTTGCCTTGTTCCCCGGGGCAGAAAAGCATGGTAAAAGCTTGTGCAGGATTTCTCACTGTACCCACAGAAAGCCCAATTTGTCATGGACACAAAGCTCATGTCAGCATGCTGTCTGTCTCGTTATTTGTAGTCCCTAGTTACAATTGAATTCACTGGTTTGCTTAAGCTGGTTTTAACTGAAGCCTCAAATGTCTCCAATGACTCTATCAATTCTGTAAATACCAGCAGTTGGATAGAAGGCAGAATTCACTCTGGAGACAGTGACTCCAGACAGAATTCCCGGAGGAAGGCGCCTCACCTGGAGACACGGTGGTTTTGCCCGCAGGCCAGCCAGGTGGCGCAAGGCGGCCAAGCGCGCGGCCGCGCTGCAGCCTGGCTGCTCTTCCCATCGGGAAGCTCGGTGTGCAGCGAGGGCTGAGCATGGGGCGGGTGCCCGCAGGGAAGCTGGGCTGCTCCCAAAGACATGCAGGTTTCATGTCCATAGAAGCCCAGGCTTCCTAGTTTCACAGCTTACCTCTTGTTTCTTAAGCCTCAGCTTTCTACAGATTCATGCCATGTTGTCTCTATTACTTTATTCCACACTGGATGATTTATCTTTTCTATTCTGTTCTTCTTGATGTCTGGGTATCTCAGTTTTATTGGCTTCCACGTTGTGTATTTGCTGTAGAGTTGAGTTTCTCACAGATACCGTTAAGATACAGACTGTTAAATACAAGCAATTTTATTGTACCCATTCCTTTTTAAAAAGACATATGAATGTTGTTTCTCACAACAACAAAAGCATAAACAATTTGAAAAGCACTTAGTATCTCAGTAAAGAGTATAAAAACCCTTCTTTTATAAATTTTTGTAATAAAGAAGACAGGCTGGAGTTTACTTATCTCTCCCTCCTGCTGTTAACTAAGCCACATCTTGATCACTGCACCTGCTGTGCTCTTCAGGGCTGTCTGTTTGGGATGGGACCCATTGATAAACGGCCTTCTGGAGAGCCTCTACCCAAGTTCCTGGAGCCTAACTGTGTAGGCTCCGCATTACTAAGTTTCTTTCTGGCCTGACATGAAAAGCCAGCTCAGCGAACTTGGGGGTGAGCAAGCATCTAAAAGAGCAAATCGACATGCTTAAAATAGTGTTGTCCATTTACTTCTTTAGGCTCACTAGCAATTAATGCAGACCTGCCTAAAATTTGACACACCACGTAAATATAAGTTAACTCTGTGAACGCATCTTCCCTTCATAGTTCAGGATTCCTTTTGCCATATGACTGGGAACAGATATCTACATGCCATTTAATTATCAGAGAATGAGGAATGCCAGTAAATAAGTCTAATCGCCTAAGTAATAAAAAAGTTTATTTTCTGAGTAAAGAAAAACACAATAAAACCGTCCATCTGAGCGATTTTTCTCCTTTGGGGAATGTGCTGTAAAACTACTATAAATTACAACATAGCCATGCTATAATATATCTAATTACCAAAATATGTTATATTTAGGTACCACAAACTAGAATTGTAGCAGAATGAAACTTGACCTACCTGTATGATTTATTATATCATTTCTTTAAATTTGATTTTGTAAGTTAACACAATTTTAATGAAAAGATGGCAAAATAAATGTATGTTTCTACTGGATTTGTAATGTCTTAGGCTCAGAATATCTATTAAAAGGTTAATTTCACACCATTACAAACTGATTCTAAACTCTATCTTGTGGGAACAGGGGTTTGCAAGTTTAGATAGTTTTATTTTGTGTGTACTTGACCTGTTGGTTTTTACTCCTAAGCTGGTAAAATTGAGCTTTCTTCCCTCTCCTGTCACAAAAGGATGCACATGCTCACACATTCTCTGTGGGCAGGGAATTAATATTTGTACCTATTAATTTTATGTATTCTTTTCTTAATATTGTTGTCTCATTTTTGTCTTCTAGGAGCAGGAGCAAGTATATTTTTCTTGAAAATGTTTGTCTTTTGGGCAGGAGATTTTTGAGGTGGCAGAGAGGAAGGTGCTTTTCAGGACTGCAAAGCTTTTGCTCTGAGAAATAGCTATCTAGAATGATTTAATGCTGTTGTAGCACCATTCATCCTTACTGCTGCTGTACTTAAAATAACAAAAGCCTAACCAAGTCCAACCGTGATGAATTTCTTTCTCTGCTTTGGCATTATGAATAACAGTAATGAATTCCGAGTGCATTTGTGACCCTAGCAGTATTGCCATGGGGTATTTTATAAAACTCTCTTTGATCAGTTTCTCAAACACAATATGTTAATAGATTTTTTTAGGAGTTTGTAAAATCATCCAAGAAGTTCTCAAAGTCATTTTCTCTATATTGTTACAACTAAATTTTCTTCTTTTAAAAGAAGTCCTACTTGCAAAATTCAGTAAATCCTTTCCTAACTAGAATTACTGGCCAATAGCCGTTTTGTATTCCGTATTATATAACCTCATGAAGAATAACATGAGGAACAGCTCTGTTTTCTTCCTCCACTGCAAACAGCTCTCATCATGCTTATTAACTGATGCTCTTTGCTGTCTATACCATTGGTCTTAGCATTGGAATGATTATTAGCTGGACCTTGGAAACCAAATTATACCTTTAACTGAAGTTATCCTTTCATCCCTGAGCCAAAGCAAATCAGAGAGTACCCAAAGAAACGTCCCCCGTGTTATTTCTGCAGGGTTTCCGAATCTGGAGGGTTTTAGCTCCGTAAATACAGTATCCTTCACATATACACAGTATTCCTGCAGAGAGGGAAGCAGCGCCACATGTGTGCCTGTCCTTGTCTGCTGCCTTTTAAGGTTCTTTGGGCTGCTGAGTCTTAGCTATGGACGATTTACATAATTGAAAAGTTTTTTGTTTTTGTTTTTTGGGTTTTTTTTTAAGCACTGCTGGAATTATTCCTTTTTACTATTAACATTCCACATTAAAAGATAGTGGATTAACAATTAGGACATATATGGTGCTTTTATTCTCTCATTGCTCAATCAGTTATAATTTTACAACAAGAAATAGTGTTAAATTAGCTACAAGGAATAGCAATTGCTAAAATGAGCATTAGAATTGGAAAACATGGGTCTTGCATCTGTGATTAGATCTTTGCAGCCCTCTTCCCTCAGAGAGGGATTCTCTTGCAGCAGTTCTTTCTATACTGAAGGCATTTTATGCTTGAGATCAGATCAGGATTGGGTGTAAGACTGGGAGAAACAGGCAAATTCAAATTTTGGTTGGGCTTTATGATCTGTTTCCCACTTTCTACCTTCTCCGTTCCCTATGTTTTCTTTTGAAGTTGTTACTTTGAAGGATACTCCACATGAAAGCATGGGTGCTTTCCTAGATTTTTCAGTTCTACATCTGCATTTCCATGTTTTTACGTTTTTTTCTAAGCAATTTCTGATATCATTCTAACTGTTTTTTAGCTGAGCAGTGGAACTGTGAGCAATAATATGACAGCAAAAGTTACAACACAGCATTGAAGCTAAGCATGGAGTATATTGAATTTGTTGGGAGTGAGGTTAATGAAAGTAAAGCTAATCAAATGCAAGTTTTATTTAGCTAATGCTGCATCCTAAAAAAATGATCTGTGATAATGAAATAACCTAATTTTTGTTTT